AGCTTGATGGTGTGTAGAGGCTTTTCTGTGACTTCTAATTCTGTCACTCCTGGGGAGAAGGCTGCTTCTCGCTGTCTCTGACAATAAAGTTAATCCTACAAATGAGAAGCCCAGCCAGTCCTGTTAACACGCCAAGTGTCACTGTGCCGTAAGCTTGTGCTACTGAATGTAAGGACAAGTGCAGTTCAGTCTGATAGAGGAAAACCTCACTTACAGATTACTGGTGTTTCAGAAATATGGTCATTAACTTACTACCTGGATTCTGAAGTGATTCTCAAATGCTGCTGGAAGCAGCATCAAATCTAGAAAACTGAGGAGCCCCCGCTCACCCCATCAATCTCTGGAAAGGTTTAATCCGTCATAAAACTGTAAAGTGTAGAAAAAGAAAAGTGATGAATGGAGCTAATTTTTCAGTAGCACCTGCCTCCTTCACTGAAGTGTTAAATTGTTTTATTTTGTTGCCTTTTTTTTTTCCCCTGTGATGAATTAAAGTGCAAATGTTACCTTGATTTATTAGTGGAAAGAGGCTGTCCAGAGCATTTGTTCTGTCGGCACCCTGCTGGTACCAGTCCCTGGAGCTGAGCTGCTGTGGTCTGAGACCGTACAACATCTCCTTGGCACCTTTGTCCAGTCACGGTCTCTCCTTTATCCACCTGAAGTCCGGGTCACAAGCAGTGTTTCTGAGGTGTCTTGGTGGTGTTGCTGTTATATTGGGGGGGTCCGGTTTGTTTGCATTTGCGTGCAGGATGTGTGTGTCCTCTTCTGCAGCCCTGCACCAGGGGCTGAATTTTGACATCCTTGCCACTGGAAGTTTAAAACAAGAAAGAAATAAGTACTTTTTTGGTATAATATTGACCTTTAACCTTTCCACTTTTGAAAAATAGAACAAGATTAGAAAGTAAAGTGTCCTAAAATACAGGTCACCTGAGAACAGTCATCTGTAGCTTATGAAGTGAACTGGAAATTTGCATACACAAAGCAAATTGCCCACTTAATTCATTTGGTCACATGAGGGAGAGAAAATAATTAGGGTCCAGGCTACAAAATCTATGCTGAAGGTTGCCTTTCAGGTAGCTGTCTGGTTTTCACTTGTTAAATGTAAATAATCAACCACAAATTTACCATATACTTTAACAAAATAATATTGGAGGAAGGAAGGAATTCTTATTTCTCCAAGTGACTGTTGACTTCAGTGTGCCAGAAGAATCCTTAATATTCCAGTACAAAACCAACTAATTGCATATGGCTGACAGGAATATACTGATTCCTTGAGGGGATCTAAGTTTTAATCCGATTGTATTAATCTTGCCTTGAAACAGCAGAAGTAATTTAAACAGTCTTTCTGTCTAGTTATGGAATAATCCATTTGGAAAATTGAATTGTGTAATTTGTAATTGTTTTCCAGGCTTGCTAATGCAAAACTGTATTGGTAGCAAATTAAATGTTTAAAGTATGACCACTCTGCTAATAACTGGCTGTTAAACATTTATTTTAATGAATAGTATCGCTTACTATGAATGAAAAGTCTAGTTTGAGGCTTTAGAAGAATTAAAGTAACTTGTCAGGATATTTTGGTATCTTCACTATAAAGCCGTACAGCAAGGCTCCTTCCATATGGAAGGACATATCCTGTGCATGGCTCCACTGATCCTGTGAGTGAAGGAGCAGCCTCCGACAGTGATGGTAAAAACTGAATCGCCAGTCTGGTAGTTGTTCCTGGCTTTAATTTCTTCAAATAAGCCAGTGTTGGACTACAGCGGGGTTATGGCCAGTGTGCGCAATTCTGTATATGAGCACCTGAAAACTCGCAGCCAATGATTTTTCCCGGTGAAGAAGGAGAGATATAGACATGACTGTAGATTTTATTTATATATATATTTATATTTTAAATAAATATTTTAAAAACCTATAAAAATTTTAGTATGTTATATATACTTAGTAAGTTAGATATGTACAGGCAAATCTTACAAGCAGGACTGGGCTGTAATTGCAGCAGCATTTTCCACTGAATGTTCCTCTGGCATGTCCTGGGAAGTGTTCTACCTGTACTCATCATGAGGGCAGTTTTCAGGAAGCCAAGACACAACCATGAAGTCCATAATTAAGATTAAAATACAAGACACTTGAAAAACATTGAACATGGCAGTTGTGTAGGCAATAAATATACTGCCTTGGGTTGTGTTCTGAAAGGTTGCCCATATTTGAGAATTACATACTAATTCAAACACTAGTTTGAATGCTAAAGACCATTTTTAGTAAATTTTGAGTTTGGCATGTTTTTGAAGGGAATGGGAGAGATGGAGGAATTTTTGCCTGCGTGTACCTGATCAGAGTGAAGCTCTGTCTGCTCATACTGTTGGTTGGAAAATGAATGATTAATCCCTGTTCCTCGTTCAGAAGTCTCTTACGACACAGCTCTGCAAGTATTTTAGTTTTTAATCTCATGTAATGCATTTCGACTATATGGATTGTCATCTTAACATAAAGGAGGCTTGAAAGTAGAGGAGGGGGAGAAGTATGCAAAGGGAGGTCTTTAACTCCTAACAAAATATCATTCTTCATGTGATTTCTCTGTTAATACTGTCTTAGGTCTGATATTTGTGGTTTACCCACCTTTTTAGAATTTAATTTATAAATGTATGTTACTTATTGATCTTGGGCAAATAAATAATACATGAATTAAACTAACCACAAAAGCACTGTTTTGCAAGAACCTGGCAGGAGGAGAGTTATTTAAAAAATGCAAAAAAAGAAAACTTCATCCTCAAATATTTGCAGGTGTTTGGTGTCTGCTCCTGACTCCTTTCCAAAAGCGTGGTAGAGGGGATGTTAGCAGCCTGCCACTTCTTCAGCGTGAATTCAGTGCATGTGTGCCAGACAATTTGAACCATCTGTTGCATAAGGGTGAGCAACAGGAAGGCTATTTAGGCACCTGGGATGATGATGGCATTTTGAAGCACCTTGCTGGGTGGCACAGCAGGTCAAATATCAAGTGATCTTTAGACATCTCCTCCCTTGGGAGCGCAGGTGCGATGTTGAACCTTTAGCAGGAATAGCTTCTTGGCTAAAGCTGGATCTCGCCAGGAGGGGCTGTCATCGTACTGGAGAACCTCTGAGCCTCTGAAAGGTGAAGGCAACTTCAGCACTTCAGCCCCAAAAGGGAAGAGAGGGCAGCTGCTTATTGAGTATATTTTTGCCAGACATAAAAACCAGGTGCCACGAGGTTGTGTCCGGGACAGAAGGCATGCATGGGCTGAAAGACTGAATTCAGGCCACTCTTCTGCCTGCTATCGCTTGTGCCACTGACTTGAGAGAGTCCCAGCCTGCCAGATTTTGTCCATCTGTTACTGTCCCCGTGTCAGCTAGGTTTGGTACTGAGGAAAACCTTAGTCTGCAACCAGCTGAGAAGAGAATAGAGTGTGTGCATGTTGCTGCAGACATTTGTCAGAGGGTCAGAGTTGGGGTCTACCTGTCTGTCACTCTTCAAAGGGAGATGCTTTGGTGTCAGCTTGTGCAGCTCAGCAGAAGCAAACGCTGTCAGAAAATCTTCAGACGCATGTGAAGACTTTCAGTCCGTGCCCTGTGAAATGCCATTATACAAGAGCTCTCAAGCCGTCAGTGCAGCACAAAATAGCCCAGAGCTGCCAAATGTTGTAGCTAGCATTTCTCCAAATATAAATACCCCTGTTTCCCAGTTCAGAACTAAAGCATGAGTTACAAAGGATTTGATGATCAGTGAAATTAATGACGCAGTACTATTGATTTCAGTATTTCTCCAAGATATCACCCAAGGGGTGAAATTGCCTGTAATTTTATTAAATGAGGCTGTGACCCAGCGATCTTGGAGTGTGTTTTTGGTACATGGCTGCCGTGCTTTGCGGTGCAGTCAGCGTGCATTCACACAGGGCATAAGGTGATTCCTGGAAAGACCCAACTTCCTGCACACTGCTGCGGTGTGCAGGCGTACGCTGGGTCCCTGTCCTGTCCCGCCTCTCTTATTCCAGCATCTAGCACTCAGAGGTAGGGACAAAGTGATGGGGAAGGGGCTTAGGATAGAGCTTTATAAACACATTAAAAAAAAAAATCCTCATACAATTAAGTTGTTCACATTCACCCCATCTCTGTACACCTTTTTCCTTCCTCCCTTCCCTGTAGACCCACCTGTACACCTCCCCTGCAGACTCGGGGAGAAGCCCCTCAGTCTGAGTTGCCCTTGCACTAACACCCAGGTCAGTGGCACACTCGTGTGCTCTCTATCTTCATCCTCTGCTCTTATGTTGACTTAGGGAGAGTTTTTGCCAAGAGAGATGAATTAACTGCTGATTGATACCCAGAAAAGCAAAATAGACCACTGTGAAGGCAATAGATAAAAGATCAATAATGTCTTAGATAATCTGCATTTACAAGTTTGTGAATCTTTAAAGCTAAAAAGCTTTCTAATAACTAAAACTGTGACTTTTTTTTTTTTGAGTGGACCATTCTAACAAATCTCAACTTTCCATCAAAAAGTAATTTTGAGGGTAGCTTTTCACCATTCTTACAGTTTTGTCTTGCGTGATGAAAGCTGTACTGGAATTGGATTTGCTGCTCCAAATGGGTGAATCCTTTAGATTTGTACCTTCACCTCCTTGCTTCTGCTACATCAGGTTGGTCTTTCTCATGTCCTTCACATAAATACTTCTCAAACTGGAGTGAGCTTTGATTCTACCCACCTCTTAGCTAAAATGCTGTTCAGATGTTGTTGCTCTAAAGCTCGTGTACAGACAAGAGAGATCGGGAGGACGTGGCTGCTTCATCATCCAGGGTCTCCAAGTTGATTGTTTAAGGTGATTCATGTCAAGGCTGCATTTCCTTAAGAGCAATCATAGGCATGTTCGTGCTCTCTCACCTTTTCTCTGTTCTTTGCAACTCGATATAATTCTTTTCTCTCCTTCTCCAGTCAATAATGGATATATATTTTTTTAAGGTCCTAATAAAAACTCTGAATTGTGCTTTTTCAGGTCACAGAGCTCAATAATGTGAAGAATATATTACGAATGCCAAAAAGCACAAAGAAACATGCTATTGGGATTTATTTTAATGATGATACCTCCAAAACTTTTGCTTGTGAGTCAGGTGGGTAAAATGGCAATGCACATTGGAAAACGTAAGAGCATAAATTGTGAAATTATAAACATATTATACCTACACACAGATTTTCTGGGCATTTATACAGAACTTGAGGCAGATGAGTGGTGCAAGGTGCTGCAGATGGAGTGTCTTGGAACGCGAATTAATGACATTAGCCTTGGAGAGCCTGACTTGTTGGCATCCGGAGTAGAGAGGGAGCAGAGTGGTAGGTACATAAATGTTGACCTTTTAAATCTTTAATTGCATTATTTTAAAGTGTTTTGGACTGTGCATATGAATATCAGAAATAAATTGGTGCAAAATTGTTTTTCTAAGTACTCCTTCCTGTTTTGTGTTGGGTTTTTTGGTTTGGTTTTTTTTTTGTTTTGTTTGGGGTTTTTTTTTTGGCTTTTGGTTTCTTCAGTTGCTACCAGAGGTATTAAGTAAGGTAGCTAGAATTATTTTGGAATAGCACTTTTCTCTCTCAGACAAGTCAGTTGCTCTTGGAGATGGGAACTATCTTTTGTTGTGTGTTTTCATGTATGCTGTCTGTACAACAGTTTCAGTCTGTGACTGAGGCTCTTTGGCAACATAATAAGCAAATAATAAATAGTAGTAATTGCATGCAAAACCTCAGCCCATGGCTACTTCACTTTTCTATGCAAATTAACTAATTATATGCACAAATGCAACTGCAATGTATTTATTATATGCACACAATGTTATTAATTGTTTGCAAATATCAGGTTTATGATGGTGCAGTGCTCTTTGGTATCTGAATGCATGCACAAATGTTTTGACACCCTTTGAGTGCAGCATTCTGACTGCCCCGAACATGGAGTTTATTGAGTTATTGGGTGGAATGGAGTCTTTGTTTTTGAATTAATTGTTTAAAGTGGAAATAAGATCTTGTAGTAGACTTGGAAAATATGAAATTCCTTTGATGACTTGTACATTTAATGGGCAGGGATTTTAGACTAACCTTTTGTTTTTCTCCCAGAGAGATTCAATGTGTATTTGATGCCATCCCCTAATTTAGATGTGCATGGGGAATGTACCTTGCAGATAACATTTGAGAATATCTGTCTTTGGGACATCCAGAATCCCAGAGTAAAACTCATCTCTTGGCCATTAAGTGCCCTCCGACGCTACGGGCGGGACCCATCTTGGTTCACGTTTGAAGCGGGGAGGTAGGTGTGTGTTCGCTACATGGCGTTGCTTTCCTTGGTGGTGCTGGGTGGTGCTCTGGACCACTTCTGAAGGTTGTTGAAGGACATCAGAGCTTATCTTCAGACAGAGGCTAGTCTGTACCCTCTGCTAAAAAAAAAAAAAAATTAAAAAATAGTATTGAAACAAATATAAAAACAAATAAAACCCCTCCTAATAGCAGGTTGCAGCTTGAATGGAAGCAGTTGCCAAATAAAAGTGCCTGAGGATGGGAGTGGGAGAGCTATGGTATATTACTGTATAGAGTTGTTCTTAAATAAAGTGTTATATGACCCAGAGAATTGGATGGACAGATCTGGGAAAAAGGGGTGAACATCATACCAGCATTTGTACAATGTGGGCCTTTGGGCACAGGGTTATGGATTCTGTACACAGAGAAGTGGAGTTTGAAGTTGAGAACAGTGGGTGTCAAGCTGTTTCCCAGAAGCAAACTAAACTTGTTCTATATTGCTTCCTGCAGCTCAGTCTTAATCAGCTGTAGTATTTGCACGGCTGAAGTTGGAGCATTTATTTATTGAACTCAACCATCTAAGGGATATGGATGCATTATTTTAGATAAGCACATTAAAGAATTACAATAGTAAAAGAGAAAAAGATCATACAATTAACTTATCTGGAAAGGGAGGAGGCATTTAAATATCCAACCTCCATATTACTGCAGAATTTAGCCCTCTCGCTGGGGGATACATTTTTATTTAGCTGGTCATGCATTAGCCATAGTAAGACAATGCAATTGGGATGCTGAGGATATGTATTTATTGTTTCAAGTGGAAGACAAAACTGTGCAAAACTCATGACAGGCAGTGTTAAAAGCTGAAAGGGAAGACAAATTAATCCTGCCTGGCACAGATTCTAGACAGGGTCTAAATATTAAAAATATGGGTCTTGCACATGAACTCTCTAGAGCCTGAGCACTTACGATAGATCGGTGGTACTTAGCTGAGTCCCTGCTTGGTGAGAGCAACACAAATATGGGCTAAAAGAGTAAGATTGGACCGGGGTGGTAAGACCCATATGCAGAGGCTTTTACATAACTTAGTTACATATTTCAACAAACTTTGTTTTCTTCCTGCTTGTGCGATAATGCTTTTAGAGCAGCATGGTAAAGTTTTGCTTGTTCCTGGTGATCTGTAAACTTAAATCTCACACTTGGATCCCATCTCTTCTTGCTTTGGCAGAATGTGTGACACAGGAGAAGGACTATTCATCTTTCAGACCAGAGATGGGGAAGCAATCTATCAGAAGGTTCACTCGGCTGCTTTGGCCATAGCAGAACAACATGAGCGCCTGTTGCAGAGTGTGAAAAATTCGATGGTACGGCTGCTCCTTATGCTTGTTGCTTCGCACTGGGCACCAATGAACAATATGTTTCTTCAATGTGATTTTAAGTTGTGATTCCCAGATAGTAAGCAGTGATAATAAGTGATTCCCAGAGATTATTGCTCTTACTAAATTCTGCTTGATTTTAATATTTAGGGCAGTATATATAACTGGGATTGCTATTGAAGAATCAAAGCAACAGGCAAACTTCTAGTCCTTGATTTTTGTGTTTGCAAAGCTATCAATAAGTGTGAATTAATACAGAGATTATGAGCTTCTGTCAGTGCACATTCTCATTAGGTTCCTTTGATTAATCAGCATCATGAGTTTGTTTGGAAGCATTTCTCATCAATCTATTTGCAAAATGTTGTGGCTCATGCTCAGTTTTCCATGTGCTAATTGATGTCTGCACTCCAAGGATGATTTGGAAAGAGTCATATGGTTCAGATTAAACTATGGGGGAGGACTAGATGTTTGTCTGATCCCTCAGTGGATGTCTGTTTTCCACAAGTGCTTTTTATGTCTAAAATTTGTTTTGTGACACACATGACTGGTAGGAAATACAGGAGTGTAAGATTCAAAACTAGCCTACTGATTGAGAACAGAGCGGATTATGTCTAAGGAAGGCAGTTTTATGGCACTTGCACCTAATCTGTTTCAGGATCTTATAAACTTTTTTTCCCGCTCCGCAGGAAACCTATAGATTGAAAAGTAATGTTTTGTTTATCCCGTATCACAATTGGTCTCTACACCCCAAGCCTCACAGGTTGACTTTGACAGCAAAATTAGTATCCTGGAGATAACAGGCTTTCTGGAATGTATAAAATGCCCAGAATGGACAACTGTGGAAGAGCCTGGCTATAAACAACATCTCTATTCCAGGCAGTAGTAATTGGTTTATGTGATCTGCAATAAGACTTACGTCTTTCTCTTACTGTAAACATAAGCGCTGCTGTTACCCATATCCATGTCTAATCCTTTCAGTAATGCTACTAACATCTTGGTTTCAGGGATAAGTTGCAGTGATGAATTATCCCAGTATTAACGGGATGACCCAGCTTGGATGAAACAGAAAATACCTTTACTAGTTGTGGAAATTAAGAAAAGATGAGAGTGGATGTTGATGGAATGGGGAAGGGAACAAATTCTTTTTAAGTATTTGTATTTCTTTTGTTCTTCTGCTTTCTTGGACTTTGAGACAGAGTGGAAGCCAAATACATGACAAGAAAGTTATTTCTCTTAATCACAGTCAAATGAGGAGGAGCAAATGAGGAGAGGAGGAGCAATAGGAAACTTTCCAAGTGTCCTGACCAATCTTGTGGACTGGATAAATGATTGCTTCAGCTGAGCATGCAGGCAAATAGATAATTCTGTTATTTGTAGAGCAGGTGGGATAACTGAAATGGGAAAGTGAGGAGAATGCAAGCCTGTTTCTAGGCGATGTGAGTCCTGCAATGTCTTTACTTTCAACAGGAAAGAGACAAGGTAGCGTAATATATATATCTATATGTGTATATATTTTACACAATGTGTAGTGCGATATACCAGTTTTCAGCTGATGCTACTCTGTTAACTTCTGGCTGGTGTCACTACAATGTGGTCACTCTGTAAAGCCCAAGGGAGAGCACTGTCTGTGAGGATGAACTACTAACTTGGAAACTGTCTTGTGACACCTTCTTCCCTGTGTCCATTTAGACCACATGCTTTTCCCAGCACTTTCAGGTTCACTAGGAAGAGCTTGACACTTTGCTTGCTTTCTTTCAAAAATGTTAGAACTAGCAGGTGAACTCTGCACTGGTATTTTTCCCTTTCTCAGTAAAGTATCATCTAACATCATCTTTGCTGTTTTTGACTTCTGTTTAAAACAAAAAACTTTATAGTTCTTCTTAGCGAACAAAGTTTTTGTTCAAAAATATCCAAAATTATCTAAGTTGAGACAGATGGGTAGATGATATGAGTACTCAACAGTAACTAAATTAAGCAGATTAAAATTAAGCTAGGCTATGTCATCATAACTAGCTAACATTTGTAGCCCACCAGGATCAGAAGCAATTGAGTAACCTGTTGAGAGCACAATTTCATTTTCAAAAACCAGACATAAGTTCAGTAACAATAGTGAATAGGCTTACAGGCAATTGGTGGTTTTACATTTATGTAATAGCATCTTTAATAGATGCCTGATGCTGTGCTGTAAAATTTCCGTCTTACAAGTGCCAATAGACTCAACAGATGCACAGTTGCTATAGATTTCAATAGAGAGCAGCTGCACAACCTCTAAAAGCTTTTTCATAGACACTGTGTCCAACTACAACCCCTACATTTAATTTTATAGACCCTAGAGTGCTGAGTGGGGGATAAGACCATATTCCTGGTGAACTGAAAGTCTTGTACTTCAGAAGCTGAATGTAATTGTTTCAGATGAGTCCATATGTCCCCGAATATGAGTTTTCCAAGTCTCATAGAGAAGTCTGGTTCCGAAATAGTTAGTTTCTAACTATTCATCGTTTCTCTGGGGTTCAAGGATAGCCAGATTTAGAAGTTCAGGATTGACCTTGGCTAGACACCAGGCGCCCACAAAAGCTGCTCCATCACTCCCCCTCCTCAGCTGGACAGGGGAGAGAAAATATAATGAGAAGCTTGTAGGTCGAAATAAGGACAGGAAGAGATCATCCAGCAATTACTGCCATGGGCAAAACAGACTCAACTTGGGGAGATTAGTTTAATTTATTGCAAATCGAAATCAGAGCAGGATCATGAGAAATAAAACCAAATCTTAAAACACCTTCCCCCACCCCTCCCTTCTTCCTGGGCTCAACTTTACTCCCGATTTCTCTACCACCTCACCCTGAGCAGCACAGGGGGACGGGGAATG